GCAGGAGATGACAAATTGATTAAACTACTGCACTACTCTGTTTGGACTTGTTACATACCTAATAATTTTTATCACTTGCAGCTACAAAAGAACATCTACCTTGGTAAAGGACAAGGTATGTTCTAACACAGGTGAAAAGCATGGGTCTCTTCCATTGCAAACTCCCAGGAATGTTACTCCCTTATTCACAACACACAAAGTCTTAAAGAACAGCACTGTGAATCGAGAAACAACAGAACGGTTGGCCTTGGAAAACAGTTTTGCTTTAGGCTGCTTCACAGCAGACATATGGAGACCTGAAATCCTATCCAGCCTCAAAGGCCTCAGGCAACTTCAAAACACAGATGCTACAGCCTGAATTAAATGTTTTAGAAAACAACAGCAATGGCTGTGAAGATACGGCGCCACACGTCGCCCCTTGCCCTAAAAGCCTCTCTATGATCACACTGCTCTCCTACCCATTCATCCACTCCACTCGGAGCACTGAGATCTCATCTTCTGTCAGGAACACCGGGACGATTCGGACACCCTGTGGCAGCAGAGAACCTGCAAGGGCAACAGAGGTCTGAGAATTACATTAGCATGCCCTGTCATACAGAACAGAAGCTCGACTCCACCCTGCGTTCTGGGGCATCACAAGATGACTGGGTCTGACTAGACTGTAATTGCCCATTCTCTTCATCTACTTAGTATCTAAAATGACACATTTTTCCCTTTTTCTTTTTTTTTTTTCCCCTCTCCAACTGTCCTGGCAGAATATCTATTAACCGATGCTCAAAAGCAACAACTGAAGGCTTGGACTGAAAGCATCAGCCATCTGTTTTCAGGGTTCCATCGGTGGCCAAGTAGACACATGGGTAACTGGAATGAAAGCAGGCATGTTGGGCATCTGCAGAACTCACAATTAAACTCAAAAGAGCAAACCTCCTTTGTTTAGCTGAAGGATCTAGTTCTGATTACACAACGCCCACTGGCACATGCTGACTAGCAGCAGCAGTACCCCCAGGGATACGCTCATGCATTCAGCAAGAGCTTTGACACAAATCCCAGCAAACTGCCTCATACTCTCACTGCAGGGAACACAGCCCAGAGGGTTGCCATACTCTGCTGCTGGGCGCTTGACTATCAGCACTCCGCAGCTGGATGCTCACCAGGCTCCTGCTGCTCCTCACCTCCAGGCTCACTCTGAAAGAAAAGTCAAGAATCAGCCCTAGGACAGCCCTTTCAGTCTCCTCACAGAACAATGAGTGCCCTGTTTGCGACTACAACAGACCCTAAACCACCCCCTTCAGCAAATGCAGTCATCAGTTTACCAGGCTTGACAATGGTTTGCTCTTGAAGTAGCTCTCAAAGTCAAAGAGACTTCCCAAGAAACAAAATACAGCTGGGAAAAATACCATAATCTCCCATTACTGCCTACTGGAGAGCATAAAATCTTGGTTCTCTCAATCTGAGGAAGGAGAGAGGTCTTCCTCATGCTCAGTCTTGATATTTTCGGAGATCTTGAGCCCTATAATTACCAGTGATAAAGGCAATGAGAAGCGACCTATTTGTCAGTTTCAGATACTCATTTTGGATACTGAGCACTAAATTCCCAAATTTGAGTAAAACATTAATCAAAAAAATCACATAGATGAGAATTCATGAACTCAGATTGAAAGAAAAATTCCTAGTGCCATGAAACCTTACTCAATCTTAATTAATAAAAGCTCTAATCATCAGCATCAATATGTTCTTCTCCATAACTCCACATGAAAATCTGTGTGACGAGCTCCAAGTTTATCTACATGAGCATAAATGTTGGCAGAGAATGCTCAGCAACATACCTGGCCTAAAGACTCACTGCCTTGGAGGAGAACTTTAGCAGTGAGAGGAGGTGGCAACTGGGTGCTCACAATCCTAGAAGAGCCAAACAAAGTCACACATGAGCAGAGTCATACTTGCATCTTGCTGAGATCCATGTTCTGCAGATCCTCCAAAAGGCCCTGAAGGAGGGGAAGTTTCACTCCAGCACAAAGCCCTCTGCAGCACTGCAGCAACGCTCAGAGAACACTGACAACGTTTGCTTATAAAACAAAGAATTAAATCCCATGCAAACAGAACAGCAGCACAGCATGATGCACTCTGGGAACACAGTCCTGAGAAAGCACGGATGGAATATGCACATTTAACATGCAGGTTAACTCTCTGAGTCATGCCTGGTTACTTACAAGCCTTTGTAGATAACGCAGCCTGCCAAGACGTGGGGAGACCGCTGGCAAGTCTGCAAGATGAGAGCTGCTTTCAGTAAAAGCAGTGGGTCCACCTAGACACAGAGAACCAGAAGTCATGCCAGAAAGCTCTTAGAAATACTCCAAATAGCAAAAACAAAAACAAACCAACCAGAAATATTAGCACTAAGGCACTGATAGAGCTGTGCACTACAGAGGACAGGCTTTACCTTGGTTTTGTCCAGATTCCAGAGAGAATTGAAAATCTTGTGGAGGTCATTGGTGCTTTTTTGGATATACTCAATGTATTTGTCCCACAGCCTGTTTAGCTCCTCCTGAGAGAACTCCTATGGACAACAAAAATCCACATGGCTATCAGTTCATTATCCTCACTGCACTCAAATGGCTACATGTGATCAGTCTGGGACAGCATCTACAAATGGCAAAGCTTATGAGCATCAGGAGGAAAACAACATGGGGAGAAAACTAGCTCATGAACATCTAGTAAACATCTTGCAAACATTTACACAGCCTTAGTGGAATAGGAGGATGGGCCTGCACATATCCAAGGATTATGATGTGAAAAGTGTGAGCTTAGTCTGATCCTTACAAGTAGGAAGACTGTAAGGGAACACGACAGAATGTCTGTACGAGGACAGAGCTTGGCTAATATAGAAAGGGTCAGAGATCTCCTCCTAGCCACAAACAGCTACTGATCCTTAGTTACCATGTAAGCCTGGTGCACAGATCCATTGTAGAATGTGAAGAGGCTGATCAACTGCTCCAGAAACCGTCTACAGCTGATATCAGGGAGATCGACAGCACAGCCCAGCACCTTTAATGCAGAAAGCATTGAATGATGAGCATTCTCTGGGAAAACCCACAGACAACAGATGAGAATAACTTATACTTCTCTCAAGTGAGTATCAAAGGTACACAAGCAGTTTTGTAGCAGGCAAACAATCCCCAGGTCCACAAGTCAAATGAAAAGGAAATCCAAAAATACCCACGGAAGAGCTCTGGCACAGACAAGGTGAGTGAAAGAAGCTGGCAGAGCAGTGTTTTGACACACCCTCCCTTTCCATCATGTCAGATGACCTCGCTCACTGCTAAGTAAGCTGAATGGCACTGCCAGTTAAACAGGTTCAACTGGCCTTAGTCCAGTTTCCCAGGGATGGCTGAGGGCACTTTTGTCATGGCTTTACTGCACACAGCTCTTTACACACTAAACATCTGTTAATGCTGCCAAAGCCTTGCAGCAGGACTGCTGAGGGTTAAAAGATCAAACAGCAACACTTCTACACGGGGAGACCAAGTCCTTTTTATGAGCTCTGGCACACAGGCTTCTGTCCAGTCGTTGCCAATAGCCCATAGATGTAACTACAAAATATAAACTACAAAAGCCTCTAGTTTTGATCGACGCTGCCAGGCGCATATTAAGAACGCACGTTGGTTGTGAACACACAGATGAGGTACGTGAAGCTTTTTAAGAACAGCTGAAGTGATCGCCCTTACACGTGCTTACACGCTGTGGTAAACAAAACCTAAGTTACCTTGCAATGAAAAGTTGTGCATTGCAAGTTCACACCCTAGCTCTCCCCAGGTCTATCTGTGAGCAGGCCCATACCCTGAAAAGAAAAAAAAACCCTCTTAGTTTCATACAGCAGTTCAGTCCTCCTCCCTGCTTTAGTTCTGTAGTGCTTCCAGACCCCAGGACTCACCCAGAGATAGTCTCCATCCACTATAACTGCAAACTTGAGCTTTCTCAAGCGAATAAGGCTTGGAGGAACTCCTGAAATCTCAGTCATGCAGCGTACCACTCCAGCAATCTGTCCACACAGCAGCTCCTGCTGGTCAGGGAGAGTCTAAAAGGAGGCAACAACAATTTATTGTCTTCCTTTTTAAAAGGGACTGGGAAGGAAAAAAAATCACAACTACATTCATAAATTCAATATCAGATGCAGTAGCAGAGGCAAATCTCAGCACTGCTGGCAGCTGCAGCCGTGGAAGCAGACTGTGGGTACTCAGTAGTGCCGTGGGCAGCTCTGAGCTCCAGGCTGCGCTGCCCTCTCACCCAGCTCCAGCCCCGGGAGGTTTCTGAGAGCTTTTACAAACACTGAATGAAAACTAAGCCAAAGTTCCACCTGGAAACCCCGAATCAGACTTATCAGCATGTTTTCACAGAGGCACCCATGTACAGGAACCAAAACAAACGCAGCCCTTACCTGAGAAGGATAAAAATAACAAATCCCAGCGCTCGTAGGATCCCCCTCCTCCTTAACCTTGGAGCCATCGTAAAGGAAGAAGTAATTCCACCTAGAAAACAAGGCATTGGCAGAGATGATTGAAACGCTTAGAAAGCACCACGTTTCTTCCCCCGTCGCCTCAGGTACAGCACAGGCTGTTACACGGGGCTGTTACTCCTCACAGAAACACCGAGGTAGAAAAGCAGCACAGAATAGTGCCACGTTATTAAAAAGGTCCCCGCAGGGCCGGGCGTTCCCCGGATGAAAAAGATTCGGCCCGCCCGAGGGTGCCGCCCTGCGTGGGGGCAGCGGGCAGCTCCCCCTCCGTTCCTGCACTCCCCCTCCGTTCCCGCACTCCCCCTGGACCGCCCGCGCAGCGCTCACCACGGGGCCGGGCCGTGCTGAGGCCGAGCCATGAGCGCTGCGGCCTGGGGCACAGCGCCGCCAATCATATGACCGCACCACGTGACCTCAAAACTACGGCAAGCCGAGAGGGGCAGCGTGATCACGTGAGCGCGCCCCTACGGTGGCCGGGAGGGGCCGCATGGCGGCGGCGGCGGCGGGCGGGTGGCGCGCGGCCAGCGGGCGGCGGCGGCGGAGGAGGGAGAAAGAGAAAGAGGAAGAGGATAGCGGTGCCGCGGTGCTGAGGCGGCTGCGGGGTGCGCGGTGAGTGCGGGGCGCGCGGCTCTTCCCCCTGCTGAGCCCCGCTGACGGTCGCGTTTTCCCCCGCAGGGACGAGCTGCTGAGCTCCGGCTTCTGGGCGGCGAGCGCCGGTGTGTGCAGGGCGGCGGCGGGAGGAGGAGGAGGGCGGGAGCCGTTGGGGTCGGGGCCGGCTTGGCGCTGCGTGTGCTACGGCCTGGGGCGGTTCGCTGCCTGCCCCGCCGCCCGGCTGCAGCTCGCCTTCCTGCTGCTGCTGCTCGAGATGCTGGCGGTAAGCGGCCGCTGTGCGTGTACCGCCCGCGTTCCGTCCCACGTGCCGCTGTCCGCGCGTGTCCCCGTCCCACGCACGTCTGTGCCCCTCAGGTGCCACCCAGCAGCTGCTTCCTCTTCGACCCGGCCTTCTCAGAGCTGGAGCTGGCAGCGCTGGAGGCACTGGGGCTGCGTCTGCTCCCAGAGAATGAGGTAAGGACCCCATCCCAGCCCCGTGTGCCTGAGCTGTGTCCGCACCGTGACCACACCACCCCCAGGAGGGCAAGCACAGCGTAAATGGATCGCCGACGCTGTTCTACATGGTGCACTGCGGCAAGGCACTGTACAACAACCTGCTCTGGAGGAACTGGTCTGTCCATGCTCTGTCCAACATGGTCATCATTGGCAACAGCTTTAAGGGAATCGAGGAGAGGTAGGTACAGCAGGTACAGCAGGTACAGCCCTACGACCTGCCTCCAGCATTGTTTTCCACTCCTTGCTTTCTTAGAACACTTCTTTCTAATGCTTCCACGAGGGACTTCCACGTGGTCTTCAAAGTTTTGCCCGGTTTCAGCTTGCTGTCACAGTTGCAGTCATCAGCAGTTTTTTCTTACCTTTTCTTCTTTTCATGGGCACGTTGTGATTCTAATGCTAGTTTACATCTTTTTTTTATTAATAGGTTGTTATCAAGAATACTGGAGAGAGATTACTCTTACATTGCAAAGGTAGGAAGCACAAAAGCTTTTTAAACACGGCAAATGTTTTGCATTGACTTTTTAACAAGAAAGAACATTAAATATAACCTCAAAGATGAAGGTGGTTGTTTTTAAAGTCCGGGATCATTTTATTATCTGCAGAACACACTGCAAAGAGGGCTACAGTTAACACAGCACTCCCATCCTCACATAAGCTTGCACAAAAGTTCTTTTGCTTTGTATGTGTTTTCCCAACTGCTCTTAGATTTTAAAAGGGGTGGAGGAAGTTGCCCTCCCTGCTCACCCTCGGTACTCGGATACCTTCAATGACACCTCCATCCACTGGTTCCCTGCTCACAAACTGGAGAGACTCTCTGCTGAAGTTTGGGAGTTCGTGGAGGAGCCGACTTACGAGGAGTGTGACGACTTGGAGATCATCAGGAAGGGGGAGGAAGGGAGCCAGCATGGCCCTGCCCCAGTGCAGCCTTAACTGCTGTCTCTTCCCTCAGTCATCCTGCGCAGCTGAGGTGATGCTCAAGCACTGACAGTGCCCTCGCCATCTGCCCTAAGAGGCAGCACCTGAACACTGAGCTTGAAGGGACATTTTTGTATCATAGTGATTTTTTAATAAAAGTGAAAGCTCTGCTTTGACTTACACTCACTGAACTGCAGCAAATTCAACTAAAAACTGCCTTTTAAACCATCCATACTGCATAACATTTGCTCTTTTGATTTCTTTCCTTCTGTGAGCGATTCAAAGCCCACGCCTATGCTGTGCAGGTTTTGAAGCATCCAGAAGGGCAAGAAAGTTGTGGGATGTGTAGCTGAAAGCTTTAGAAGCTAGTTCCTAACACAGACTTACAAAAGCTTTTTCACAGGCAGGGGACTTCAGCTGTTCAGTGCTACTAAAAAAGCTCTTCAGCCATTCCTCTGTGAAGAATCAGGCCGTTTCCCTCTAGAAAAAAAAAGCCTCAGTCACCATTCTTCCCTACCATCCCTTGAGCTATTGAGTTCCCACGGCAGATTTTAATGTGCTGGAAAGAATTTCCCTTCCACCTCTGGTTGGATAGGGCTGAGAGGCGGGCCAAGTCCTGGTGGCATTCAGTAGAGAAGGGGCTGCTGTGTGCAGGACACCATTGAGACAGTAATTACCACTGCCAGGGCAGTGCAGCTGTCAAGGAGAGAATCTGTTGGTGGAGCCTTTGAGGCTGATCTGTGTTGGCCCTGCTTTGAGCAAAGAACAAGTGCCAGCAGTCCCTTCTAGCCCTCATTTGTCTAGTGGTTTGAAACAATTATTGCTGAGTCTGTACCACAAGTGGCAATTACACAAGCATCAGAACTGCTTGTTCCTCCCTTTGCACCAGCTTCCATGTATTATTTCACCTCCTGACACTGTTGGAACAGCCAAGAAAACAATCCTGGCACACAGCTGAAGTTCCACTATTTACAAATCTGCAACGTCTTTATTCTAAGACAGTAACACTAAAAATATGAGTAAGATCACCTTCACAGTTCCAAGCAGGAGCCTCACTTGGCCATATCAATGAGACTCTGGAGAGAGGTTGGCACCCAGGTCTTTTCTCCTTGTACAAATACAACACCTCTGTCAATGTAAATCACAATCCGTCCAAACGTGTATAACTGCTTCCCTTCGTGCCGCTTTCCGATCACAGGCATGAAAACAATGTTGTGTTCCTCTGCTTTTGTCTGAATTAGGTCCTTGAAATTCATTGGCACAGAGCTGGCAGCCACCCCTATGCCTCGCTGAGCCATGTTCTCAGCCTCTCGCCGCTCCTGCATGGCTTCGTACTGGAAGTCTTTCCTCCTCTCTGTGTGAGTGAGGTATGCAATGTTCTCCCGGGCACCTGGCTGCATGTAGCCACCTGTTGGGGAGAAAAAAAGTGTGAAAACCACATGCAAAGTCCATGGGGAAACTCCAGTCCAAGATGCATAAAGTATTAAATGCAGGGAGGCTGAGCTGCAGTGTTCTGAATCATCCTTCACACGTTTTTATTGCTTGCATTTACAGTGTTCATACAAAGTTCATACAAAGACTACCTAGATGAATCAGAAAACTGTAGCTACAGCTACAGGATCGAATAGGTCCCAAACTGAATCTCAGCATGCACAGGAAAGGATGCTGCACTGCTGCTGACAAAGGATGAAAGCAAATACGCCACAAATAAGCCACCTACCAACACTGGAAGAGACAGCCCGGTTCATGATATCAAGAGCTTCATTAAATTTGTCTTTGATTGATGGATGTGCCAACACTTGGTCTGAGAACATGGACTTCCAGCCCAAGTACCACTTCGTGATCTCCTCATAATTGGGGCTATTACTAAGCCAAGAGCACAGCACCTGCAAAACAACAGGGTGGGTATATTTGTGGAAGCCCTTATTATTAGCTTGTTCATGACTCAGCTTTCACTTATAAAAATAAAAAATGACCATAGCAGTCTTAGAAAGAAGCCTGGTCTGATGCATATGCAACTCTGATGAAAACTACTCAATTTAGCAATTAAACCATTTCAGCAGTAGAACAACAATTATTAGGTCAGAGTCACTGAAACACTTTGCTTTGAATCACATTTGTCAGAATTACTCAGCCTTGTTCCTCACCTGCAGCCATTTTGGGAAGAAGTGTTTCTCCAGCAGCCCAACAAGACTGGAAACAGAAATCATTCCCTCCCAGTCAATCACCCAGTAGAAGGCATCCATGTGCTGCTGATGAGGGTTAATTATAAGTTCATTCAAACACATCCCTGGAAAAAGGGCAAGAACAGTTACAGGAGTACCTGACTTACCAGTGCCCTGACCTATCTCATAATGATGTAAATGTGAGGAGCAACTGTATTGCACTGCATTACCTCCAGGATCTTTCAAATGTTTGGCTGATCCCTGCCACCAAAACAATACAATTCCATTTCCCTCAATTACAATCTACAGCCAAAACTGAGAAACTTCAAACATTCAGCTTTTTTCTTTGGACCAGACTGCAGAGCTGAATGAGGAATTGCAAATCTCACAGTGAAACCTTCTGCACAGGCAAAGAATTAAAACGCCTCTCCCTTGTCTCACCGAGTTTAGGCACAATGTTCTTCACCATGAAAGCCTCCCATGACCCGGGTGTGAACACATCCTTCCAGGGCTGAAGGATAAGTTTGGCTGAGGAGTCACTGGGATGCCATTTCTGCAGTGCATTTGCCAGCTTGTTTCTGATGGGAGAATAAAGAGGCTCCAATCGTGCCTGCATCAGGGGAAGCCAGGGGTGGATCCAGGAATGGATTGGGACTGTGTCTGTCAGAGGATTCCAGTTTTCAACCTTAAGGCAAAACACAGAAGAGATTTAATTTCCTACTGGCACAAAGACTTCCCAGATGCAAATAACCCCCTAACTCCAAAATACATTGACAAGGGCAACAAACTGGTATTGTGAAGCTGCAGTTGACTACAATTCAAACAGTGGTTCAAAATAAGGTTTCATTCTAGTACAGCTCTCTTCACTGACCTCTTTCTGTAGCTTGGGGAAGATGAGCTGATCCAGAATGTTATCCAGTATCCACACAGGAATGATGTGTACCCAACTATCCAGGAAATCCACCATTGACCCACAGTTCCTTGGCTGCCACTGTGCCACTATGTTTCTGACATATGGCATCCAGATTTCCCACATCAATCTGGAAAAAATAAAGAAATCAAAACTAAGCTTAGAGCTCATCAAGCCTCAGGCCTACAGAAACTGAATGGATAACTTATTTAAAAGCCTCTTCCTTTTATATAGCTGGCAGCTGGATTTTAAGAGACACCTGAAGAGAATCATCTGGGAAGTACGCTTTTAACTGTTCTTCACCATCATGGGGGGAAGCAGCATTTAAAGATACTAAACAAAATACAATTCCTTTGTTATTTACCTGTGAAAAGCATCTGTTGAAAGGTCCTGCCCCCCGTGTGATAACAGCTGGTCGTTTTCCAAAAGGCTCTTCCACTTGGCTATAATCTCAGTGCCGTATGTACAGTCCTGGAAATGATGAGGTTAAATGATACGTGGACTTAATTGGCTTTTCATTCATTTCAGCTGATATCCACAAGGAGCAGGGCTGACTGCACACTCTGCTACAGGCAGCTTTCTCACATGTTTCTCTCACTATTGGCACGAACACAGGGTTCTATCAGGAGCCTTCTTTTCTGCTCTCACGTGTGAGGAAAGGTGGCTTTTTTCATTTCCTCTCCCAGCTAATCAGGGAATTTGGGCAAGGAGAGGGGAAGGCAAGACAACGAAACAACTTAAAGCACGAAAAGGGAACTGCAGATAAATCACACTAATATTCACCTTGAGGGGATCCCAGTTCTTGAAGTAATCTTTCATGAGAGGATAGACTATTGCTACTGCCAAGTCTACCCTGTCAGACATTCTGTACTCTTCATAGTACTTGTCTTGAAGCGTCTCAAAGATCTTGGCACACTCATCCAAGGTCAAAGGATTTTCGCAGCTGGGTTGCATCCGTCTCTCGCACTCCTCCACCATGTCCAGGACTTTGCTGAGGTTGCTGATGGCCGTCTCCTCGTGCGAGAGAATCTCAGACATCTTCTGTATCTCATGGCTTAGGTTGACCACCATGTCCCTCTCATACTGCAGCTGACGGTCGCTCTGGATGATCTCCTGCTCCGTGATGTCAATGAGAAGCTGTAAGTTGTGCTCCAGCTCAGGCAGGGCAAATCCCTGGGGCTTCGAGTCCTTGCCCAGCAGCTGCTGAGGATTGTCATCGGGGATGTTGTGTTTGTGGCTAATTTGACTGTAGCTGTAATAAACCTTTTGCTCCCGGCCCGTCATATCTATAACCTTCCAACAAACAAGAAGAAAAGTCGTCTTAAGAAGTGCAATTTGTGTTTAAAAAGAGGAAATACCTTGTTCCAAATTGAAAATTGGTGATTGCCAATTACTCCAGCAGGCTGATGTGAAGATCTAGAGTAAGTGAAGAACAATTGGAGGTCGGAGCTCAAAGATTCTACCTCTGATCTCAGTTTTGCCATTTTGCTGAGTTAATCTAAGAACAGCAATTACTCACAACTAATTACTTAGGTAATTTTAGACTTCTTTATGGACTTGTCAATTTAAATGACAATTAAATGACCACTTCATTAAGAGCATTAAAGACAAGCTCCTTGCAGTCTGAAAGCTTTTCTACCTAAAAAGTACTGTGTGTTTAGTTGCACAGTCCCAGTAAGGACAGATGTGCTTACAGAACTGGGTGAGCTATGACAAATGAGAAACAGTTAACTTACAAAAGCAAACAAACAAGAAAACTAATCTGTATTTTCTCAAGATCAAGATGTTCCTCAAGGACAAGTCCGATGTTGCAGGCTATGTTGTGGTCTATTAAATGATTCAGTAATGAATCTGAAGCCTTGATTTGCATGAGGCTATCGACAACAATTGTTATAACTAGCTTCTGTTAAGGTTACCACTTGCCTAAAAGCACTCAACACTAATGCAAACAAACTGAACTGCTTCCCAGAGATGCCATCACTTGGTTTATCAGCCTTACCTTGACTTGAGAGAGCTCCTTCTGAGGGGTTGAAAGCTGTTTATTAATCCTACCCTTGGCTTTCAGTTCTTCTACTGTCTTATAGCTGTACTTGGG